ACATAAAATATAAAAAACAAGAAATCTAATATAAAACAAAAAATCTTTTACACCGTAATAAAATACAGTTAAATAGCAATACAAATAAAGCAGTAATTTACATGGAAATAGATGCTATGAATGAATTTTAGAATATGAAATGTGAAATATGAATATGTGCAGAAAGGAGTATGAACACTGTGTGCATTAATGCAATGCATATAGTCTATGATGTGGCAGAGGTAAAGTGTCAGTGGGGGGGCAGGCCTTGTTTAAGAGGCCGGTAGCGGAGGGGAAGAAACTGTCCAGGTGGCGAGAGGTAGTAAGTGCTGACTAAACTTCTTTACTGAAGTAAAAGTAGAGAAGTATGGGCTTTGAAATGTACTTTAATAAAAAGTACCCATAACTACCAGCTGTTTTAAAGAGTACCTGACCTCCCTTTATATTAATAGAACAATAATGTCATTGTTAGCTAATGAATGTTTCCATGCTGAACAACGGCAACATGACAACGTTTTCATTGGTCCCTCTTCTTTAGAGAAGACCAGGAAATGATGGATACACGGATCGTGTTCAAATCAATAGGCACGCAATGACTCTAAATAATAATGATCACGCCACTAAACACACAAACTAAAGGAACCAGCCTGTTTGGAAATGAGAAAGTACAGGTATTTTGTGTTCAAAATGTAATAAGTAAAAGTAAAAAGTCGTGGAGTAAAGTACTGATACTAGAAAAATGTACTTGAGTACAGTAACAAAGTATTTGTACTCCACTACTTCCCACCTCTGCAACCTGAAACAACGATTGATTGATGTTGATTAAACTGTACCTGCATCAGAGGGATGAAGTCCTCCTGCTCCAGGTAGTTACAGCTGGGTTTGGCTAGCAGCGAGATAAACTTTGACGCATCGTCATGGCAACTGTGCAACAACCTGCAGGAGAGGACAGTTTTGGACAGTTAAAATGGACTGATAAGACTTAGGATGTGTAGGACTTGATGAACTCGAGGTCTCTCTTACTTCCTCCAGGTTGCAACGAAGGAGTGAACAGAGACGAAGCCCGTCCTCTCACCGCCTGCTGTGTAGAACATGGGGCCCTTCCAGTAGAGTGGACACCCGCATGCCTGAACAGAAAGACAATACAACCATTAACTTACCCCGAAAATCAATCGCATGTTGTTCAAACCACAGAGTTGAGTTGGTGATAACACTGCTTAGGAAAGAGTGCATTCAAAAACAGCGCTGCATCAACCAGACAATGTGTGGGCAGCGATATCTGAAAAACATTTATTTTCTCCATGGAATAAATTTGTGTCGTAGGAAGATCAAAACATGAATTACCGACAAGAAATATTGATGCTGATTTTTTCATAGTTCTGAAAAAACATCAAAACGCAGTGTTTTCTTTCCAAAATCAAAGATCACACTGCTTAGAAATATGTTGTTGTTACATCACTGCATCAACCAGACAATGTGTGGGCAGTGATATGTGAACAATATGTCTCCATGGAATAAATGTGTCTGGTAGCAAGATGTTAATCTTACATATGACTGCCAAGAAATATTGATGCTGTTCTTTTCACATTTCTGATGCTTCATACTTCAGAGCAGGTTCATAAGGATGATAACATTTAGTCTTAATTATCTACCTACCTTTATATTGTTTTATTTATTTTATAGGTCATAATCTTTTTATTTGTATTTCTGTTGTACCTATATGTCAACACAGTCTCACGGCATTTCGTGTTCACCAACACGATTTTTTATCTATTGATTCGTGTTCACCAACACGATTTTCTCCTTTTTTTCGTGTCACACAGAACGATTTTAAAAGCAATGTAAATGATAACAAATTAGAAGGAAAAACAGATTAAAAAAATACAGATTTCAGTATTCTGACACAGAACGATTTTAGAAGCAATGTATTTCTATTGGTAACTACATGTTTCGTGCCTGCACCACATAATGACAAATTAGAAAGAAAAAAATATTTTAAAAAATACAGATTTCAGTATTCTGAGGCTCTGAGCCCCATTTCTTTTCCTCGCGGACGGCAACAAAACTCAGACATTATACAATTTAAAATAAAAGGGATAGGCTTAGGGTAAGATATTGAGTAAGAATATGTTTTTATGAACCACACAGCTTCTGGTATTCCAAGACCCGACCGGACAAAAAGACATGGTGCACACGAAACATGCTACCAATAGAAATACATTGCTTTTAATATTGTGCTGTGTGACACGAAAAAAATGCGAAAATCGTGTTGGTGAACACGAATCAATAGATTACATACATTTCGTGACTATGACACGAAATGCCGTGAGACTGGGCTGTATATGTTCACTTTGTTTTATGGGGTTTTACATTTTATATTGTTGCATCGACTCAGTCATCTTGTGTCTGATGTGTCAGAGAGAAAACATTATTTATTTTATATTATTTGTATTATCATACATTGTACCTCCTTGCGTCTATTAACCTGATCAAATGTTATATTTTGCTACATGTACCTCTTGTTGTTTATTTTTAACTTGTGATGTGTCATTTTGTAAAGCACTTTGAGCTGCATGTGTTTTATGAAAAGTGCAATATAAATAAAGCTTTATTATTATCGTTATCATTGCAATGTCTGCTGTTGAACTGCTGACCTTTGCGATCTTGCCCATNCACGACCGCCCGCACGCGTTGAGCCAGGCGGGAGAAGCATGGATAGGAGCGAGATATCCAAACACACGCCCTCAGCCCCCCACGCCCACCACAGACAACACACGCTCCTCGCTCCTCACACCTCGTCGTTTTGCTCAAAATGCAAACAGAATCATCGCATGTTAGACATCCCTCATATATCAGCCCCTGTTAGAGAAACGCAGATTTGGGTCCATTAGTTGGAAACCAAAAAAGAAAAGAGGCCCGGGGGAGCTAATGCCCCCGCCACCACACCGACAGCTAAAGTTCGTCCGATTAGATCCATCCATCCCCGCTCCAAACCACACTCCACGGATTATTATCTGACCACAGCTTATGGAGCTCAAATGCTTTTTCTCTTGCCGGGTTTACCACAAGGTGAGTTCCTTTTTTATTTATCCTAGCTTTTGTACACCATGTACTCTCACAGTACTAGGTAGCATCTGAAGTGGTTAGCAATGCTTGCTAATGTAAACAAACGACCATAATACGGTCAAAACCGCGATCAGGACTCAGTGTTTATGGTGGAGCCAGCAGTCAATTCGGACAGCAAATTGGATCAGCTCCGTTTTACCCGTTCTTATATATATCCATGGTTGAACCCCCGTTTTTAGAAGATTTGGGTACGGAGGAAAAGAGACGAGAGAGTTTTATTTTCTGACACTTTGTGAGTTCCCCGACACACCAGGGACACATTTATGTATAAAAAGAAAGACATCAAAAAGTGCATTTTGCATGATAGGTCCCCATTAAGGTTTGGTTGTCTAGCTCCTGTAAGATAGCCAACATTTAGCTTGAGAGTTGTATAATCCTGCATCTGGTGCTCTGCCCTGATTGCATCCTGGTTATGGATTGGTAGAGTCAGTCTGACAGAAGCAGAAGCAGCATTGAAAGCTTGCTCTGCTGAATATAGGCCTGGTATATCACTGGGCACTATGAGAACCACTTCTAATGCTTCTCTGCCTTTGTCTTGACAAAGACAAGAAATCATTTGCCAAACGTTAACATTCAGCCCACGCACACCCTCTGTCTCATAACTCACTCCTTCACTCCTTGTTACACACTTTGTTCTGTGGGAGTTATAGATAATGAATCAGTTCAGAATTAGAAACACACTATCTGCCCCTGTGTTCACTCTGTGGTTGCACTGCTGTAAATCATATTTCTATGCTAGAGAATGAAGTTTGAATCATCCCTCAGGCCACATGGAGAAAGAGTCTTAAGAAGCTAAGGTAAGAAGGGTGACCAGCAGTTTCAAAGTGACCTAAGTAATATACAAATTATATAAGTGTAGGTCAGTACATTTTTTTTTTTGGCTTGATTTAGCTAATGCAACATTCCTGATTAACTATAAAATGCTGGACAGGCTCTGTTTACATCTTCATTAATGTGAGAATTAAGAAAATAATAACAATAGACAACTAAAAAAGATGAAAAAAAGATGGACAACAAAGTTTCACCACTAAGAATATATCACTATTCTTGTGTTTCTCCAAACGAATTGCCGTATGGATGTTTCTCTTTAATCTGCAGAATGGTTTTAATGTAGGACAAAAAGATAAGATTGTTTTAATTATTTCCCTTTAATCAATGATCGTGGAAAATGAAAGTAATACTTACTTGATATCTTAATTGAGAGACGCATGGCACTCAAGCTCGTGAGAGATGTGATTCATGAACTGTGGTGGCACAGCCGTGTTTTAATCATAAAGAATTAATTTCAATTAAATTAATAAGAACTGAATATTTGAGATGTGTGCTGATCTGACGGCACCTGGCTGAACCTCTAAAGAAAACAATAAACTTTTGTAAAGCATTTTTCCGTTGGTCAGGGGGAAGAAAAATAGGCAACAGAGATAGTATGCCGCTAGGTTTTACTGTGTAGACCTCAGAAAAACGCGATCCTCGCGATCGCAGATTGTACGGCATAATCAGCAAAATGCGCAGATTTTTAAAAGGCCGCATATTTATCAGAAGTCCGCATAATACCCCATTTTTCCACAGCAAAGTTGAGGAAAAAAAGTTCTCGTCTTGACGTGAAGTAGTGATGATGATGACCGTGACGTCATCAGCTCGCGCATCACAGATGGTAAACACACCGTAAGTGAAGTGTGGAACTCACACGACGAACATTTCTGCTAAAGACCCGGGCCAAGCAGTACTCCGATGTCTTTCACGAAAGTGGGGGGAAACTATACTGCACCCAGTGCAACATGTGTGATTGGAGCATACGTCTTAGAGAAAATTGACGGTGATCGACCCACATATTGATCATTCAAACATTCGAAAAATGCTTCCTGGTGCTGCGGACAAGGAAAGCCAAACAACTCACGTTCACCGAGGCATCAACCTCCAAAACCCTTTCGAGAGGCTATCAAAAATCGAAGTGAGTAGGACTACCAAGATTGATAGCTTGTCAGATAACGAACGAGTAAATGAAACAGAATGAAGAGCGGAGGATGTGTGTGTGATGTAGTGTGTGTGTTGTGTGTGTGTGTGTGTGTGTGTGTGTGGGTAGATGTGAAGGATGAGATGTTAATAGAAGATATAGGATAGAAGAATGATGGTATGGATGATGTGATGGATGAAAGTGAAGAGATAGATAATAGCCACACAATCAATATATATACAAAAAATAAACATTGAATGTTTTATTGAATAGGAAAGGGAGTTATTAACGTTAGTGGCGGTTGATGTGTGAGAGAGAATAAATAAGCAGCCCACTATAAAAAAATCTATTTTGTTTCGCAACTTTCGGCATATTTGCAACTTCCCGCAATTCACCGCAGTAAATCACATAGAAGACCACACGCATGTTTAATCGCATAATCAAGGATTCTAGACCCGCATAATCAACGGATTTTTCCCGCGCGTTTTTCTGAAGGTCTAAGAACGAAAGAAAGGCTTTTACTAATTTGCTAAGAGCTTCCTTAAAATATTGGGGGCGCGCGCGCGCGCGCGCGCACTGTCTCCCTCTCGTCTCAATGTCCACCCTCTCCTCTCTAAAATATAGAACAGCCATCCTCCTGCAATGCAGGCTTTGAGACAGAAACAGAAGGATAATGTCAAGTGATGGGAGGGAGCCAGAGATCCCAAACACCAATCAATGTAGGTTGCAATGTCCTTGTTCTTCACCAGGAAGTAAGACAATAGGATTAGACTTGTAAGTAATTCGCAAGTGGGAAAATGCAGAATTGTGCAATTATATATCAAAGTTGTGTGTGTGTTGTGTGGTGTGTGTGGTGTGTTGGTGTGTGGTGTAGTGTGTTGTGTGTGTGTGTGTGTTTGTGTGTGTGTGTGTGTGTGTGATGTGTGTGTGTGTGTGTGTGTGTGTGGTGTGTGTGTTGTTGTGTGTGTGGTGTGTGTGTGTGTGGTGTGTGTGTGTGTGTGTGTGGTGTGTGTGTGTGGTGGTATGTATCGTATGTAATGTGTGGTGTGTGGTGTGTAGTGTGTGAAGAATCAAACAGCACTGCAAACAGGCCTAAAAACAGCCTTATAAAGATCCCATGTTCTGTTTTAAAAATAATCAACAAGCAACCTGTTTTCTGTTTCGTACAGAGTACCCATTTCCGTCCTCAATTTAAGGTTGAATAAGCGATCAGAAGAATTCTACATTTTTAGAGGTCATTTATGATACATATAGGAGATCATAATATGAACAGCTCTATGAAGGAGTAGCGGAGGGATTTCCACCATATAAAAGACGGAGGTGAATTGTAATGAAGGTGAATGAAGGAAGTGGGGGGCAGAACTCCATGGCTTAGGAGCAATGGTGTGCAACAGCGAGCTCACAAAGCGTAGGAGTGATTCCATTTAAAGGGATTTTGTGTAGCGCTCCAGATTGTAGGCACTCATCATAACATATAAAGGATAATAAATGATGCCCAGGAGAAAGATGGGAATATTGAAATATTTGAGGAAAGAGAAACAAGTTGAACAAAGTGACTAGGAAAGTGGAGAGGAAAATGTTGAAGGAGAGATAGACTGTTTGAGGATATCATCGAGAAGAGAATAAGTAGATGACAGATAAAAGAAACGCGTGAGACTTAAGAGATGGGAGGCATGGCAGATTGGTAAGGACCACATCATTGGATTAACAGGGGCAGAACATTAAAAGTATTTCTTTGTATCCACCTCCAAAAGGACCAGTGATCAGTCAATGTTCCCGCTCTGAGGAGTGCTGAAGTAAAGCTGTGACAGCAAGACTTAACCAGATGCCTTAACAGAGATATAAACAGCAAGTGTGTGCATGGGTAACCAAAGAAACATGGTCTGTATGAGCCTGTTGCATAATCATCTATTACGTTGGCATGAAGACAAACTGCTGGGGTTGTGCTGATCAAATGATATGCACAGGCACAACGGGTAATGGTTGCTTAGACTCATGATGTCATATTGTACACAGCTGCCCTGCATTCATACTTATTGGTCAAAGACATAACAGCATCTGGTGTGTGTGTGTGTGTTCGTGTGTTCGTGTGGTTCGTGTGTTCGTGTGTTGTGTGGTTTGTGTGTTTGTGTGTGTTGTGTGTGTGTGTGGTGTTGGTGTGGTGTGTGTGTTGGTTGTGTGTGTGGTGCTGTGGTGTGTGTGTGTGTTGTGTGTGTGTGTGGTGTGTGTGTGTGTGTGTGTGGTGTTGTGGTGTGTGTGTGTGTGCCATGCAAGTAGCCAGCTTGAGACTCGGGTTCTTCTCAATGGCTCCAAGGAGGACCTTCAGAGCACTATTTCAAGGATGCTACCGTCATCGAATTCCGCCGAAGGGACTGTTCCCAATGTACGGATCCTTGGAATTCTACCGAAGACTGACTCCTCCTCGTTGCGGGAAATTTCGAGTGCACATGTGTATCTCGTCAGTCTTAAAGCCCCACAATGCTTCTGGCGCACGGACCAATTTCCCCAATCTTGGTCGAAAATGCTGAATCCAGGCCGTACACATTAAATGTAAGTATGCTTCAGAGGCGTAGCTAAAGAATGTGCACATGACTCGTGGTGTTTAAAGTGTATTGTCCCGTTTCGTTTTGCCGTGAAAAATGAAACAATTTAGCAAACTTCTGGTCACGACCAGAGTTTGAATGAGACCTAGAGCAGGGGCTGCCCACACTTTTTTGGCTGGTGGCTACTTTTGAAATGCCAGCTCCCGAAGTCTACCAACCAAAATAAAATCCCAAATTGCAAGGGTTGCTGATAACACGTTTTATTTATACATGGGAATAACTACAATAGGCTGCAACAAACGACTAATTTGATATATCGATTTAATCTATCGTTAATGGACCTATTTCGACTATTATGCCTTGACAATTTCTCAAACGCTCTTATTTAGCATCAACTTTTAGAATTCATAGACCTTCGAGGCCTTTAGGAATGGTGGAAACCTAACAAGTGACGAAACCATAAAGATGCATATAATATACTACAAATACATATAATAAAATTAACTTAAATTGTGAACAAAAATTAACATTGGCTTTTTATTTAAATAAAATAATAATCATTTTCACATCAAGAAACAAAAATGTTTAACAAATGGTATTAAATAATTGATGACAGACACTGTAAACAGAATAGCTGTAACTTTAACAGAATAAATAACTGTTCCTCTGATCATTAACCCATGTTTTGTATAATTGAGTTAACTCGTGTGTTGCTGCCCTAGCATCACATAACACCTGACGTGGAAACGTTACTGTGGATGGGGCTAAGAGCTTGCTAGAAAGACAGTCGAACCCGGTGCATTCCCCGTTGAATGTGGTACATTTTGCTAAATGTTAAGACAAATTGCTCGTGTTACCGCCCTTACATGCTAAATGCGCTGCGAACAGTCCTCCTGCGCTAACCACCAGGCGCGTTTCAAGACCGTTGCGGAAGCGGAGCGTCGTGTTGTGCAGCCTCGCAGTTGTTGTTGCTTGGGATATTTCCTAGGACATTTGTATTGTTTTTTCTAGGCTACGTAGTTAATGGTTTATGTTGTGTGTCTGTTTAAATGCGTTTAATTGTTGTTATTCCTATTTCGTTGTATTGTAGACTACAGACACAGTTAATAATCATTGTAATATTCAGTTATAAACGACATGAATCAAAGATGTGATAATGTATTTTAGGTTAAAAAAATATGCATACTCTCATCATAATTTTCTATATACTATATACCCTATACAAGTGCCTGTAAGCCGGAGGAGAACGCGGCATGTATTCTCCTACTTTGAAAGACTAACGGGGGGGTGGGGAGGAAGAAGGAAGCCGGTTTTGGCGTGCACCCCTTCAACCAGCAAACGGAGACAACTAAGGTGATTTTCATCACCTTCGTGGCTGGACCAGGCCACGACATCACCATATTTCCGGATGAACTGTTCCACTTCCTGCTGCGCTGCGCCGCTTCAAAAATAGGATTCATCCCTATATTTTAGAAATTCCTTGCAGCGAGGAGCTTCCTGGACGCTTCGAGCCCTGCAGCGGTCCTGCGTGGAATAGCACCCATTGACTAGAGTGGCGCGATCGCTAAAAACGCCGCAGCGCAGACGCTTCGGTGGGATCAGGCGGGTAGGACTGCGAGATAATGTTTTGTAGAATAATACATGAACCTTCTCTTTCTCACTCGCTACTCGGAGGGAAGTCGCTGTCCATATGCACTTGGGACACTCCGATAATGCCTCTCCCACCAGTGGCGGATCTTGGATTGATGAGACCGGGGCTTAGCCCAGGAGTTGTTGGGGGGTGCAGGGGTAAACGTGGGTATTTTTTTTTAAACAAGTGGGGGGTGGACCGAACATCCTTAGGGGGGTTGTCGCCTCCTTTAGGGGGGTCCGGGGGTAATGTTCCACCGGGAAGAACTTTTTTTTAAATTATTGAGTTACAAAGCATCAATCTGGTTGCACTTTGAGACTAACAATTATCTAACCCTACCTTAATAACTACCTTAAAGCGGAAAAAAGGACTGGAGAACACTTATTCAGTTAAATCATTTTAATGAAGCAACCTATCCTTACACTCACTCAAATACAGTACGTTTAAATTAATATTGGTGAAACGAATAGTGCAGTAAAGTAAATATTAGATGCAGGATAAGTCTCACTTGGAATTCCTGGCGATGTTATCGGTATTTATAGAATCATATTCTACTACCACCATCTTTGTTTGTGGACGTAGAGAGTGTAAGAGTCACGATCTTCTGAATCCGGACACTCTGAGTGGACTGCAGTCACAGCCCGATCGGAGTATGATTCGAGGGTTGCCATGATTAGGATTCCAGTTGAACGTCAGTTCCGTTGCATATGGTTCCGTTGTTAAGTGTACTGAAACGAGAGCCGGTATAATTCCAAAACAATATAAAAATTGGAATACGTTATTTTAGTGTCTTAAAGGTAGACTGAGGTATGAAGGGTTAAAGTTACATCTAACATATACAGGTATAATTAGTGTGGTTACTCCATGTTTACTAGCTATAACATTAACATTGCATCACTCTTTTTCACTTCTTACTCAGTCAGCCAGACTGCAGATATCACCATTAGATTCACAAACCTGAAACATCATCTATTTCTTCACTACTGGTGATGACATTGTTGTCAGCTGCTGATACTACTGCTGCTGCTGCTGCTACTACTCCCGAGACGTTTATTATTATTATTTTTATTTTTTTGTAAGTGAAACATCCGGGGCTTTTCAGAAAACATCCGGGGCTTGAGCCCAAGTAGCCACCCCCTAGCGCCGCCACTGCTCTCCACGTTACCTTTCTTTGGCAGAGTGACGCTTGCTTTACAAATAAGGCAAATAACCTTTGAATGTGACATCACAAAAAAATATTCTTCCTCCCATTCTGGGTGGAAGTGGTATGTCTTTAGCTTTTTGCTCAGTCCCGCACTCATTTTGTTGTTTATCTCTTGTTTGTCTCTTTTTTAGAGTTTTCCCGGCACTTGACTGATTTTGTATCGCTTTGCATTCTGGGTTAACAGACTGGAAAGCGATAGGTCACTTTTTCTTTCAATCAAGTAAACTCCTGAATTAAGTGGCAGGGAGGCCAAGGGAGGAGGGATCAAAACCTGTTTTGTCTATTTTAACGGAGCTGGATTTTTTTTTTGTATGAATGACTCGCGATCTACCAGCATTGCCCCCGGTCGACGTACTGGGCACCTCTGCCTTAGAGTGTTTTGCACCTAAATACATAATTAAAATGAACCTTGTTTTGACTTTGCCTCTTTTGTTGATATTTGTGGTTTATGCTACAATGTGCACCAATATGTGTAAAAAAGGTTTGCGGACATGAAGTATGATATATGAATGGAAAAGATGTACAGAAACACTTTTTTGGAAAACTATGAGAATGAAGAAAGGTGATTGAAGATGAGAAATGATTGTAAATGTATGTATATATGTAAGTAGGAATAACTTGCAGAAATGATTTGGATAATCATTGGTCAGCAGTAAGTAAGGGGTGGGAATTATAAGCATTTGCTTCCTCCTGCTGCCTTTCAGGCACATATGATTTATTATTATTATTATGAATATTTTTTGTTGAATATATAAATATTATTATGAATATTGATAAATACTGTATTATAACAATACGGTATTCTGTTTTTCACATTTTTTTTTTTTTTAATCTGTTCGAAATAAATATGGAAATGAAAAATCTAGTGAAATACACATTTTATTATTGATTGGTGATGGTGATTTTATGATTTTCTTATGGCTGCTTATCCTCCAGGACTTTTTCAAGGCTGCAAACAGAAGGAGAACGTTTTATGTTAATTTAGTGGTTCTTTCCTGGAGAGATGATCATTTTACAAAAATACAGTTACTCAAGTACATCTTCGATCTGCGCAAAATCAGTTATGAGTCTTCAAACAAATCGTGCTCAATTTAAGGCGGGACCTCTCATAGGACGCACACCTGCACACTAGCTAGCCTGTTCCATTCTTCGTTCTCCGAATGCCAGGAAGGATTCTTGCCTAGCCTCTGAAGAACCTGACTCTGAAGACATGTCCTACCAAGGAAGCGTCCTCGACATTGAGAAACACCCTGTGACAGGACTACAAGCTGTGGATGACATCATGCATGTGTTGCTGGGCTTTTGAATCTTGGACTCGCTGACACATTCTTCCGATGTACACACAAGCTGATGCACCAACCCACAAATAAAACACAACTACAATTTGACCCAGTAAGTGTGTTTGCATCTCACCCTGTGCATGTCCTCTTCAAACGCGGTTTCGTGGACGCTGCATGCAAAGAGCGCGGTGGGGAGGTCGCTCAGATCCATCATCTCCTCCCCTACGCCGTCCTGATCAGTCTCCCCAAACACCATGTCCTCTTCGTCCTCCTCGTCCTCCTCAGGATCGCTGCTGTAGGCCTCTGAGCCTTTGCTCCAGGCCTTGGAGCTCTCTCTGAGCATTCTAATGTATTTTAGGATGGTGGCTGACAGGAACCACAAGGGCTGGGAACTGGGAAGAGATAAGGTGAATATACATTAACTGTAAGTTTGTGGAAGAGTTATCAGTAAATGGTGGTAGTGGGACAATGGTGTATGAAGATTACAAAGTTGCAGATTATATTAAAATAGGCTGGGGGATAGATAAAAGAGAGAAACGGAGAGGGAAAATGAAGGAAGGGTTGACGCTTTAAGTGCATGACAACGACTCAAATTAAAAAAAGAGGTGGAATTGTTATACTGTATTCCTGATTTGATCCCGGTAAAGGGTTACTTGCTGGTTAAAATCATTGGTTAAAATGTACAACTTGTTTCTGGTGAGTGTTTTGAGAATCTTTTAATGATCCATTACAAAAGGAAATGCATTCATATTTGGCCTGCAAGTATTGATGTTTTAATATTTTACCAATTTGCTGATTATTATCCTAATTGTTAAAAGGTTGACTCGATTAAAAAAAAAGGTGAAAAATGATATCCCAAATTGACCAACAGTTCAACACTGAACATATTAATTTCATACTCATAGAAGGCTAAGAAAACAGCTCATATTAACTTTAATTGACTTTTTTTCTGCATTTGCTCAAATAATTTCTTGATGTAGTTAATTTACTGTTAATCATTGCATCGACATCATTTAACAATGAAAAATACTGATACAAAAGGAATAGGGTTATGATGAAGTCTGATCCCAATGTGAAACTTCAAAATTGTACTGGGGATAGAGTGCCATCTACAGGAATATTTAGCCAAGCGAAGATTATTATTAATAATTTAATCACAACACCGTTAGAAAATCGACCTTATCTCAAATAGATTAGGAGAAATAAGGCATTGATATTTAAATTACAGCCCAAACTGCACACTAGTGTCATCAATCTCATTACAATAAACTGGAAATAGAACACACTAAAACAACATCACATGTCCTCAGAATAAATGGCTGTAGATAACTATGACATCAACATTTGCGTCGCGTGCATTCAAAACAAACCCCTGGTTCTCACATTAAGGGCGCGTGTTAATGAAGTGTTGCACGCGCGTTTAGCACAAAAGTAACGTAATATCTCACAAAAGCACTTTGTTTCCCATGCTAAATGCTGTTTTAAGCTACAACGACGAGGGAAATCATAAGAAAGTTAGCACAGACTCATGGTTGCAAGCTAACGAGCGAAGTTACTGCTTTAATTTCCCTTTCAAACCGGTTTAATTGCGGTTGTCTTTGGTACTCACCTCACTGCTGTCAGAGAAAGAGGCCGGAACGACCCATTGCACGTGCACTGACAGCTATATTTTCTGGTGACTTTGTCAAACAGATTAAAGCTGCTGTGATATTTTTAAACCTCTGTCAATCAGACCCGTCGTTGTTTATTACTGGATTATTTGACTACTATCTGATGCAGCCTACTGCGACGTCAGACCCGCAGGTGAGACCAATCAAAGGCCGCCGGAGGAACCTAGCGACCAATGAGGCTGCAGCAGGGGAGGATGCTCCGCTTCAAGATTGGTGGCGACTGAGCAGAGAAGTGTCACAGAGGTTTCTGCTGGGAAACTTTGCTTTAATTTGACAAGGACAAGCATCCAAAAGTGGGTCAATCACAACATAAAGTGAGTTACTCACATTGTTATACTTCTAGTTAGATTCAAGTTAAAATATCTGATACACCTGTTGTATGGAAGCAAACAAGAGACAGAAGTATTTGAATTTTATCAGACACCGAATTTATAGCATTGAAAATAATTACTTTGACAATCATGTGTATGAATTTTGTTGCTCCGAATTTGAAATAAAAATGTAACAATTCAGGTTAAAAAAAATCGAATAGTCAAATTCTATGGAAGCAAACAAGAGACAGAAGTATTTGAATTTTATTAGACAGCGAATTTATAGCATTGAAAATAACTACTTTGAAAATCATGTATCTGAATTTTTTTGCTCCGAATTTACCTATGTGAAATAAAAATGTAACAATTCAAGTTAAAAAAAAGTCGAATATATGTTGCATCCATAGGCCTACACAAAATAAGGTACATCAATTTTTCTACAGCGAATTTAAGTTTCAAGTGTTTCAGTTTTTTTCAAGCAACATGAAGCAACAGCATGTCAAAAGTAGGTTTTTTCACACACCAAATTGCAGAATTGATGATTATAACTTCAAAAGAATGATGTAGGGCAGTTTTCTGAGGTGAAAGTTACCTCTTTACATCTCTGAAAGGTTATCTTTCTGAAAGATTTATACAGTGTGCTATGACACAGTGTATGAATGTTGTCTGACAATGCAGTGAGTTATATATTTTGTTTTTCATTTATCGTTAAATCAATCATCAGTTCGTACAGAAAAGACGGGCAGTATATGGTAAGTTAGAGTAGTATTATTTACATTGATTAAAACTGAGAAAACGTTTTTCTTTTCATCAATTCTCAGAGTTAAAACTTTTGATAAATAGTATATCAGAATTAGGTTACATTAAGTTTGACACAACATTGCATATCATTCTCAAGGGGAAAAAAGCTAGATATTTGACTGGACAGTTTAGGTTCCATTAACGGCAGTTTTGTTAAGACTGGCTGGTTTATACAGGGATGTAATGACTTTTTGCACACACAACAAACCACAGGCGACAGAACTATAATTACTACATGATGAATACTGTGGAAAGGTTCTGCTTTTTTAACAGTGCATAAATGCATTACATACAGTATGTAGCTGTGGAGTCTATCCAATCTATGCAATCATTATGGAGTGTTTTTTTGTCAAGTTTAATAATAAAGGATGATTCACAAACCGCAGAATTATCTTTGTAACATTTTGATGGGAAGGTTACATTTCCAAAAACATAATGTATATGCAAATGTTAACTTTTATTTCTTGATTTGTTTGTCATCAGAAACTTCAAGGTTATCAGGTTAAAAAGGAAAGCAAAATTATTTTCAAAATGTACACAAACAGTAGACTACCCAACCTTAAACGTACAGTTCACATTTAAATAGTTGTACAGTTCATCAGTAATTTCAAGAGGCTTGTATAATTTAATTCTCTTCTTTTTAAGTGACCACCTTCTTTTCAATGGGTTCAGATTTCAATAAACAGATTACAGTAACTTTTTGTTTACAACTAAACTGCTACGGTGATGCTTGAATTACCCTCCTGGGTCATGTAACACCTCACAGTTATTACAGTAACTTCCAGTGTACTGCGACTTGTTAAGGCACACTAAGAGCTAACTTCAATAGATAAATACATTATAATAAATTAGAAAATGTGCCCCCCATTGTTTGCTCACATCAGGAAAGTAGTAATACAATGAAATTCCTACAGCAGGAGGCAAAATTGCGGAGTAAAAACCGCTCACATAATAAAAAAGTTAGAGGCAGATATTTAAGGTCAAAAAGTTCATTGGCAAGTCTGCAGCTATATTTTATAATGTTGAGGAGTAACTTCAAAATCCTCAATGGAAGAACAGACCCCTTAATGTCGTCATTAATGAGCGAAGAATAGCTTAACAGTCATGGGAGTGAGTCCTTAGATCTCCATTCTAACACAGTGAAGGCAGTAAGCTCCAAGGCACAACATCTGCTCTGCTGTGAATCCAAATAAAACCTCCAGCAGCTTCAGGTTTCCTCTCTTCATTTTGGAATGATAACAGCCGACATCTTCTCAAAAAGGAATGCTACTTATGGTCAGGTTTTGGTGAAGAGATTATAGAAAGCAAAGCATGTGAATGGAGTGTAAGGCACCCAGTTAACACCCTCTACTGGGCTGGAGGTTGGCCCAGAGTACATGTGAGAGTACATGTGAAAAGAGCTGAACATACCCATCATGGCCTTCCAAGCTCCTTGTATGTTGTCTTTTTGTTGAATGAAGGGGAAAATACTCTGTTTTAATCTCTCTTTAGGTCTGGCTGGCCATGAGATGCTTCAGTGGACCTGGAGCGGACCGGTGTTAGTTCCAGGTTGACCGAATGTGTAGCAGGAGCAGCTCCATCATTGTTGACCAGGGCTCCATAGGAGAAAGAGCCATTGGAGTCTGGCTGAACAACCAGGCCTTTGTCATGAATAGTTGGGACTCCTGATGATGGAAGGTAAGGTAGGATAAGTTTCAAGTAAGGACATTGTAGTTAAAATAAAGAAACTGAATGATGAATTTGCAATGGAACTTTTGGGAAGTGTTAACAAGTATGCCAGGCTATAGTATAAATCAGTAAACTGTCAATTTGTACAAATCTTTAAATATCAATATTTACAATTTTCTATTATTTAAATAAAATTGTATACAAACCATCAACCATTTCCATAGTCACATATGGCTCAAAGTTCTTTGTCTTTTTCCTGTTTTTGGTGATGAGATACACTCCAAGGAAACAGAATGCAGATCTGTACAAAGCACAAAATATGTGTACAATTCTTTAATGCAAGTCACCCATAATTTAATTGCATCAAATGTATGTTTCTTGGATATTTTTCTATAACATTAAAAATAACTTCACAGGCCTTTCACGGAGCAGACATTTTAACATGTAGTAGGAAGAGCACAGGTGTTACTAATACAAGATGGTTTCAGCATGCACAATACCAGGAAACTAAAGGAGTTCAATTGAATTCAGCCATCATTTTTCTTTATTATTAAAAAGTGTGCTTGTCCTACTGGGACATTTCAAAATGTCTGTCAGAAAGACCCATGATGGACGATTACTCACCCCAACAAAAACATGCAGATGTGAAGGATGTCTTCTTTATTGAACTCTAGGTAGAACACAGCACCTGAAAAAAACAGAAGAATCTTTGTTGACTCTACTGGCGCGTTTCCACTGCAGCGCGGAGCTCGCTTTAAGCGTGCCGAGCCGTGCGGGGCCCGTTTTTGGTTGCGTTTCCACTTGGCCTAGTACCGGCTAGCGGGTGCTAATTCACAGTTTTTCTGGCCCCATAAAATCATGGTTCTAGGGCCAGGAACAACCAGGCTGAGTCGGGCTGAGTATGCTAAACTAAAGAGAGAATCGCTGGCAATGGGGCTACAACTACAACAAGATGAACATATTTGACCGTGATTTAATTGTAATACACGTTTCAAAATGATGCCGAAGTAACAACATACTGATACCGGTTAGTAAAAACCATGAATTAATGCTCTGACAAGTCTGCAGACAGACGGCAGGCGAAAAACCTTTTAAAATGCGTGTTGTCTAAATGGAGATTGGCTAAGCTAACGTTGTAAATGCTCCGACCGTCCACACTCACAACAACGGCCTATACAGACATAAATAAACCAGCGACTGTATTCGCCATGACACAGACAGTCTGTGGTTTGTACTTGTTTATTTATTTATTCATTTATTTAACAGGGACAGTGCACATTAATGAACATTTCTCTAAATGTGCCAGAGTTAGCCAAGAGGCTATTTTTCATCTGTAGTCCCTGGACAGATTTTAAAAGTCAACCTAAAACACATTTCATTTTAAACAAGTAAATACAATGCATTTAAAACATGCAACAGACATTACTGGCAATTTAAAATACAGAACATTAAAACAAAACAAATAAAACAAAACAAAACAACATGTTAAAACAAAGGCAGTGGGTTGTAAGGAGCAGAAGATTGGGTCAGTGCCGGCAGAGCTGATTCCCCACTACCATATTTTGAGCTTTGATTTAAATAAAGTGAATGTGGTCTGGTCTCTGATTGGAGGTGGGATTGAGTTCCATTGCTGAGCAGCTTTAACAGAAAATGAACACCGACTGAAAGAACTTTTTCTGAGTGGAATAATGCAATCTCCTCTCGCTGCACCTCTTGTTACCCTAGTTGCAGTTGTGCGTATGTTAATAAACTGTCTAAGAGGAGGTGAGGTAAGGCCGTTGACAATCTTGTAAAAAAGGCAAGCATTTGCATGTGTAATGAGGTTTTCCCAGCTTAGCAAGTTGTATTTTTGGAGTATTGGGCAGTGATGCGAAAAAACAGATTTTTTGTTCCAGNAATTGTGTACGATGCTTTTGTGTTTTTCCCCTTCGATTCGGAGAAACAAATAGTTTTTTCGGAGTTAAGGATGGCCGAAGACACTACACTACCCATAATCCTCAGCTATCGTTTGGGACTACACCAGTCCGTTTTGCTTGACAAACCCCGTGATTAATCTTCAAGCTCTGTGATTGGATGTTGACTGTGCGCCAAGGTTACGCCAAGCGTCAAACAGCAGCACTTTGAAATGGAATGAAACCCAGTGACGGCACACTATCCAAAACAGGATACGAACGAATCCTGTGCTTATCGACACCGGTTAAACATGTACACCATGCAATTTATTGTTACTTTGTAATTCTACTCCACTATAATTCAGAGGATAACCTGGTATTTTACTCCACTACATTTATTTTAGTTACTTTTCAGATTCTGATTAATGATGTGAAATATAAACAACCCTTAAATCAGACTTTAGTTACACCTGAGTAAAATTCAGGTAAGGTGATTGTCAAGTGCCAACAATCAGGAGAGATATTTGATAAAGGGTGCTTGAAAGACAAAAAATGTATCTGCAGATCCCTAAAGCATATTCATTACTCGTTATTGTCTAATTGTTCATTAAAAACTGTATATAATGGCTATTTTGCACATCCCTTTCAAGATTTTCTAAGGTTTATTGACATATCATACAACTATGGTGTAGTTATGCAATGAATTCAAAACTTGGGTCGCATGTTACTCAACAGTGCATTACAAGACATCTATCAATATGTGTGTATACCTCCACCATTAAACTGTCGTATTCTCCACATTTCTTATTCTATCTACATACATCTTCTAAGAGTATAATTAATATGTATAATATCAGTTAAAATAAGTGCTTCAACATAGTTAACATTGCAGGAAGTTGATTGTCAAGTCCCAAAACAAACCATGCAATATATTAGGCGTTAAGTACTTTGTCAGGCTTAACATTTATCTCTAGATACCCCCAAAGCTTTTTTCTTATTTAAACGAAGAGGAGTTAGTGTAGTGAGTTTCAGAGCAGTGTAATAATTATTTGACCTAAAACTAAATGTGTTTATGAATATCCTCTGAGGAGGACATTGGGATTTGCTGACTTTTTTTTATTTCCTCCATTTGACACAACACAAAATGGAGTCCACTGTGGGCCAAAACCATGGATGTATAATAAGGCCAAAACTAACACGTAGGTTTCTGTAGGGTTCATGGCAGATGGATGCAGTTGCTCTCAGGAGGATATATAATAAAGGTGTGTTAACTGCTGAGCCTATTTACTGTGCATACGACACACCTGGCACAGTTTGTTATTATATTGCCACACTGTTTTGATACTGACATTTTATCTTTGCCTAACTAAGGTGTGTCTGCACTATTGTAATTTTAAATAACTCAGTTACGAAGCTGTATAACACGAGCACCAAAACCACAACTTCAGTCAACTCCATCATGTCTGAGGTCGGAAGGTAAACAGACGCATCATATACAGCGGAAGCGGAAGTTTTTTTTCTTCTTCTTCTCTCGGTTTTTTGGCGGATTGCAACTTTAAGGTGCATACCGCCACCTACTGTACTCGCCGTAAAGTTGTTTGCGGCCTGCAAGAAAGTTATATAGGACATGAGGTTAGACGTTTTTTATGCTAAACTAAGCTTGGACACAAAATCTGTCTGGATATCTTTGACCTGCACTGTATGAAATAATCAATAAAAGTGAAGGTGTATCAGGGGTAATGTCGTGGTCATTCAGATGGCAGGTAAGTGTGGATATCCTTCAACAGATATCCCTGCAATCTGCAGTCATCAGGTCCATTTGTGCGGCTCTACGCCAGCCTATCGAGCGAGATTTAATGTAATTCAAGGAGAATCTGCATCGATTGATGCTTGAGAGTGCAGGGGGGAAACTCTTTCCCTCAACACTGACTCAAAGGAGAGGCCAGGGTCACACCACTGCAGGAAGTATTGAGTCATAGCTCCAGTCACAAGTGGATTGAAAAGTGATAAGGCGATGCAAAGCGAGAGAAAGGCTTTCAGAAGGCACTGATAGGATGTAGATCTCAGGGGATTAAGATTACTGAGTAAGCACGATGCATAAAAATAAGCGAAACGTTATTCTTCAAGCCTGAGAGTACAAAAAATACAAAGCCGTTGATGTGTCTCTATTAAAAAGTAAAGGACCAAAGAAATTGAAGTGTCAGTTTAGGTAAAGTAATGAAAAAAGATTGTTATTTGAAGAATACGAGATAAAAGTTGAAGTGTCAGTTTAACTTTGGATATAGTATTGAATATTAAATGAATACATCGTGCATGAAATACTACAAACACCAGAAAACAGCAAGACAGTTCAAGTCGAGGATCGTTGAGATTCCCTAATCAACAAATCAAGCCCCCCTAATTCATTCATGCCATCCTGAATTGATAAAATGTCACCATTTGACTGGCTCTGAGGAAAATCACTGATTCTCCTGTGGTAGGACTTGAATTGAACTGGCAACTAATTAATTCAAGAGCAAACAAAGCACTGGACCTATTAACTCATTAATCACATATCGAATTAGACTGAAAATTAATTTAAACACAAGTTAAGAGCATGGCAAGACTGACGGAAGGTTTGCACAGGTAATCTAGCCGCTGGAGGGTCGAACAGGCATTAAATCCACCACTAATGTCATTATTCAATTATTGTATGCTTCTAGACTGCAACATATTACCACTAGTTTGATTGCCTAACAGGCTTATGAGTGACTGTGTTGGTGTGTGTTTACCATGCGAGCAGTGAAGTGGGCTGGAATAGGTGACTCGTTTGACAGGTGCAGAACTCGAGTTATGTCAGTCAGAACAGGGATTCGGCCAAAGTCCAGCTTCGGGGTCTCAACATGAACTTTTGGTCCCTGACCAACACAGGACAAGACCACCTCCTGGAACAGAACGGAACAGAGGTGGGTTAGAGAACAGAACTTATTATATACTTTTGCGGTCTCTCACAGACCTTTGTTTTCCTGTGACAGCTAGCAGTAATTGATTTTTTTATAAGAACACAAATGAAAAAAACTATTAGTCAGCTCACTAACTAGGTAGCTAGCTAGCTAGGAGGAGACTGGGCATTAGCTCCAAGGCGTACATTAAGTTAAATTGATGTAGCAACTCGAATGCAGACATTGCAAACACTTGCTGATAAAAATATAATTCTAATTCAGGAAGATATATTGCTGTTTTTACCCCAAGGGCTTCGCGTACGCATATATTCAACCATTAACAGTATAGATGTTAACACTTAGAAGCACACGCACACAAATGCACACACACACAGCATTCCACTGACCAGGGGTGGCTGGCTGCTGCCAAACACAGCAATGCGTAGAGTGTGCTGCTGCCTTCCAACCGCCTTAGCCAGCAGAACCACAGGAAGCTCTTCTGAAGTACGAGGAAGAATCAGTCCTCTCGGTGTATCACTGCCAAAAAGCAATGACGGACTTTCCTCATGTTCCTGATAAAGGTGACACATGGAAATATGTTTTTAATTCAGGCATACAAACCCAACATTGCAGGTTCAGATAATAAAAATGCAAAATATATATAATATGAATTATGTCATTTTATTATGGATTAGATACCTGGCATTATAAAAAGTCATTAAAGTTGTCTCTACTTTTAACCAGCTGCAGAATTAAAATGAAGCTCTTATTAATGGATCATTAGTTAGAACCTATTAATAGTATATTTATTATTCCGAAAATGGCCATTATGTATAATGAGTACTTTTTGTTTTGCTACTATAAGGACCTTTGACTACTTTTTTTTACTTTTACTTAAGCAACATTTCGAATGCAGGACTTGTAACTTGCCATTTCTACACTAACTGGAGTAAAACGTCATTTTAGTAAAAAGGTAATTTCAATTTTTTCCAATTTTACCAAAATGTTTCAATACGGTTTCATAGTGCTAATAAGTCAGGATCTGAATTGTCTAACCATGGCATTAAAAGGAAATAATTCAAAATGTTGGGATTGACAATCATTTGCTTTCTTGTGGAGAGACGGATGAATGAATGATTTATTTTGTAATCATATTGCTCACATCTACCACATATACATTTTGCTGTGTTCATCTGGAAATTAGCCATTGTTATAAAGAACCTTGACAGGCTTGGTGCTTGATATTTTTTCACTAGGACCCTAATAAACATACAAATAATGATCATCTTCAACAAATGACTTAACCTGGTCGAGCATGCCGTAGCAGGCCAGCAGAGGGCTGCTGTTAGTCAGCCGCACCCGCTGCTCATACGGGTGATCGAGGAAACACCTTTCAAAGTCCAACACTGGAGTCTCCACCACAATATCAGGAACACAACACCTATTAGCAAAGAGAAATAGATAAAGAAAGGAGAATTGAGGGAAAGATTTCAGGTTTATTTATGAATCACAACGTGACACAACTGCTGCTATTAATTAGAAATGATTCATAAATATACAATGACGGTTATTGCCGAGAGGAAGTCAGATTACCATCGCTCCACTCCTGAATGATGGTGCAGGTGACATTCAAATGTATTATTATGCAAATTAGACTCTGAATATTGAACACATACTCCACAACGTAATTAATAATAAAAAAAGAAAAGTACTGATACCGTCCACTAGACTCCTAGTTACGTTGCGAGCTGCGTACATGATTTCAAATACCGCGAAATAATCTGTGACGCATTTGTGTGTATTGTGTTTGTTTCCCGGGAAAATACTCACAAGAAACACCGGCAGTTGTTGTGCCTGCTGTGACGTTAAATTGCTGCTTGTAATTATGCCTTTAAAAGCTTCAAAATTGTATTTATCATCTGAATTTGGCGAAACAAGTTTAATATTCTAAAAACCAAGACTTTGTTTATTTGAAATCAGATGAAAACAAACTGTCACGGACCCTGCCGTGTTATCTATGATTACTATACGCTTTTCATTCAGAATTTCAGCGGGAGGGAGGGGGAGCGGCGCTGAGGAACAGCAGAGTGCAGGTTGACAGGTGTCTGTGGTGACATTGCCCTTATTGTGCGTCAGCAGAGACAGGCTACAAGTGTCTTAGGTTCAAGTTAGACAACTAATGTCTGGGTTAGTGTTCATGTCTTCATGTTTATGTCATCTTAAGGGTTAATCTCAATGCACTCACTGTTAAATAACCTGTTCAATACAAACATGCCACTTGTAAACATTAAATAACATTTCTGTGAACTGATATTTGTTTAGTGAGCTTATTAGAGGATGTTCCCTGAAAGATTGTAAAATGTCAATGAAGATGTCAGACTTAGTATATTTGTTAATAATTACATACAATACATGGAATTTTTGTGTGTGTGTGTTCCAAGTGAATCTGCGGCCCCCTGGTGGCCAGTGCATCAATTATGTGGCCCCCACCACCATCAAAGTAGCCCATCCCTGTACTAGGTCATCCTTTATATTCATTCATCTTCTACAAATACAAGTATTGAACAGTGTTATGGCAGAAGACAAAAACATATGAATAAAGTAAATGAAAGGAATAATATGAAACAAGGGATGGATAAAATAAAAATAGAATAATATAAAATAATATGAAATAGAACAAAATAAATGATGGTTTATAAATGAAAGTAAACCATGCACTGATAGAAGACCATGTGCATGCACGTTTTTAGACTATGTGTTAAATAGAAACAAATACACAAATAGTTAATAACTAATTATCCTTACTCTATTCCTAATTCTACAGTTTTTTCTTTGTTGTGGATTGTATTTTTTTTTTTTTATGCTGTCTCTGAAAATATATGATACAATCTGATAAGTTAACTTTGTGCAAGTTTGGAGTACACATGTCAAAAGTGTGTTGACATGTGTAAATGTGTCTGACCTGGCGTAGATAGGCAGAGTCCCGATCTCCTCCCCGACACCCTCCACATCCACCACCAGCGCCAGCCTGTATGTCTTCACTGTGTTGGAGCATAGCGTCACCTGTATACATATAACACAGTACTTTTAAAGTCTGGCAAGTTGCACCATCCGGTTACTCATTGTGCACTGCATTTGGTCCTACTTCACATTGAAAGGCAGTTCAGCCCTCAAAACAGCAAATGTAAGTACAGAACCAGCGACACAGCAGGGGGGAAACCAGCTAACGTGACTCTATGCAAATATAACTAAATACACCCACCAACACCTTAAAAACTCATAACATTTATTTTGTTCCAGGAGAAAAACAAATGTAAAAAAAACAGTTTTATTGAGGGTTGATGCAAAACACTTTTTCTTTTGAGGGGTTTCCTGAAGTCTCCAAATGTAACAATTTCAAATGGGTTCCCACTCTATTCAATGACTTACTATACCTTAATAGTGACATCAGACAGACTACGCATAGAGCCTGCAGCAGGCATGACGGTGAACTCTACAGGCTGTGCACGAAGGCCTCTATCAGCACCGCATTCCCAATTGATCCTTGACACCTCAACCGCCTGTTTGAGACTAGTGACACTCGGAGACCCTCTCCCGTCTCCCAGGACACGCAGGGAAAAGTTCAAAGGCACAAAGGAGGTGTTGTAGAGGGTAAAAGCCAATGTTTGAGGGAAACCTGAACAAAGATATGGATGACAAGGATAGAACAAAGGGGGACATCAAAAAACAAAACAAGGATGAAGTAGAGAATGTGATCGTCCGGAGTATAATATATATTTTGTAGCAACTGAAATTGAATAAGCCCAGGACGATGTCACTCACCAAAAGCTACGTCTCCAAAATTAATCTCAGAAACGTTGAAGTCGAGTGCGGGAGCAACGACACAACCCCTGAAAAAAGAAGATAAAAACATGAGACATTATTCAAAGGAGGTTACAAATGTTTATATCATAGAAAAAAATGAATAAACAGCGAGATTACAACTGAAAACAGTGGAAAACTGTTTGCTAAAAGATGGTCAAAATTAATACCAGCAATACCAGAACTCCACTACCAACATTTCATACAAATGTTCTCTTTTGTCTTATTTATTGAATTCTTTATGCCTGTATTTGTTTTTGTTTTATTCAGATTATAACACATATTATTACACTGGTTATTGTTTGGCTAATATTAAAGGAATATTATTTAGTAAATTCATAAATGTTTAGAGAGATGAAGTAGTTGAAATGTGCTCCTTTAATTATTTGATTTGAACTCAACATTACCAATGAAAATGTATGTTTGAATAATGTCCATAAAAGACAGTAAACAATGTATCTAAGGTACAAAGTGTGTCATTGTATAAGCATCTATCCATGTCATTTGAACCGTCTCTAAAGACTAAAATCATGAACCATGAGAAAACTTCATAATTTGATTATAAACACTGCCACTACTTTTAAGGTTTTCATTTGTCTTGGATGAATCTGAATTGCTCGCTGGCTTCACCTGAAGGTCACAGTAAGTGGTTGAGGCTGTCCTGTGACAGTTAGCAGCAAGTCCTCAGAGAAAGTTCCCAAGATGCAGCTCTGAAAGGTGACTTGCACAATCTGCCAGGCCCCAGAGGAAACAACACCTTCCTCAGGACTGAAGGAGAAACAGCGGCCGAATGTGGTGTCGGGGTTTGACATCCTGAAAGGGGCATCAATCACCCCTTTGTTGTACATCTCCACCTGGAAAGAAGGATCCACTCATTCAATACTTTTGTTGTACTAGGCCCACCCTAAATAATGAAGGAATGAGCTTGCAGTAAATGTATGTTCTTTTTTGTAATATCTTTTCAAGTTCAGTTTTGATTTAAATAAATGATGAGCTGATGGAAACTATTTTACTTACACTTATGTATACTAGAAAAACATTTGTCAAGTGTATCTGTTGTTTTTATGTTGAACATTTTAACAGTTAAATTACTTTAGACTTTTAACAGTTTTGTCTTATCTATAAGAAGAGGCACAGAACGAGTATGATGTCAACACAAAATGTGAATTTAAGAACATTGGTGATATTTACAAAAATACATTATGTAATGTCATGCAAATGTGTTCACAAGGCTAAAAATACAAACTTCAGTTTTGTTGTTAAGGCACTTGACGGGGCAAACCATTTCTATATGCTATATTGTTCCTAATGGGACAAAATAACATGGACACCTTATAATGTAAAAATATTATATATATATTACATATCATTATACCAATAACCTCATAACAGTCTTGCTCCATATCCATTTTTTTTACTATTGCATTGTATTGTAATATATTTAACTGGCATTCACTCACTATATTATCCATATAGCTTGGCCTGTTAGTACCTTGTTTTTGTCTCTGATTAAAAATCCAAATGATTTGATAATTGTAAGTTATCTTGAGTTTGACTAAACAAAAAGACTTACTTAAAAAAGGTAGGCAGGATATACCACACACACAAGTTGTTACACAGTAATACTTTTTTAAAAGGCTAGACTGTTCACTTCGGCTTAACCTTTCTTACTTCATAACAGTCTTTGCCACCAATGTCTACGTTTTTCATATCCATCCGGTTATAAGTGAGTTGGAGGTTAGGTCCCAAGCCCTGTGCTTTTATTGTGAGAGGCAGCCGAGCTTCACGACCTATAAGAGCAGTGACAGACAGGAACAAATTGACAACACAGGTAAAGACAGAGAAAACGAGGGTCAGGGAAACAGAAAAGACTAAAGCAGAGATTCAAGAACAACGCTGGGAAAAAAGGACTGCATACAGTACGAGAAAAGGGAAAGGCTGTATGGGTCGTCAGCCTGTTTATCCTCTTTTCTATTGTTTCAGTTTTCATGTATTTGAATGTGTTACGTATTTGTCGGTTGAAATATAAAGGGTTAAAAAAAGGGTTGTTCCAAATACAAAATGTCTAAATCCTTGATAAACATTCACTTTACATCAGCTTCTTTCTAATCTACTTTTCTCTTTCACTCTCTGTGAATTTCCTTAAGGGCAAAACAGTTATATCCTGCAGTTCTGCTGAATAAGCTTCTAAAGCTTCTTGCAAAATGAGGAATCAGGGAATGGTAGTCTCCAGACCGGCTGTCATTGACCTTAGCTGGTCAGGTCGTTGCCTGCCTCAGAAAACATGGAAATTCATGTAAATCTGGCCTCCGGCTGCAGAGACACTCGTGATGGCCACATGCAAATTTCCCAACAACCTTTTACTACCGCTGGGATGAGATTAATATATTGGAGCCTCATGACTGCATTGTCGAATATGAAAATGGGTTCATGTAGCAATAAGTCATCGGAGAGTGAAACCAATCAGGCAGATTTAAAGGTTAATTTGTGATGATAAGAGTAGATGTCATACACTACAGCAAAAGAGAACATACAAAGAGAGAGTTTTGGCCGTTTGGGAGGGGCAGTTCTTCCCTGACAATAACTACACAGACAGACACGGTTTGCTACCCAGACTTGTGTGTCTAACCTTTGTCTGCACCAACCCACTGAGGGGAGGAAAATCTTTTATGAGAAAGACAACGCTATTGATTTATAGCAGGAGTGTAAAGTCTGCTTAAAGTTGTCAAAACAACTTCCAAGGTGTGGAAGAACAAACAAAAGAGTTATACTCTGAGAAGGTTCGGCTCAAGAACAAAGCCAAGTTTTTGTTAAGTGTCTCTTAAGAAAATGTAAGCCTTACATATTCTTAGCTTTAACCTGCAGCTAGTCATTTTATCCCAAATTCCTCCCTTACCAAAATTCAACAAAACATGTATTATCTTTTAAAATTGTATCTGTATCTAGATTCATTTGAGATGGGGTGTGTTTTATATCTTGCCCTAAAATGGTTCTGAATGCCCGTTCGTGACAACACCTTATATTTGTTGTGTAATTTGTTTGAGACTGAAACGGACAAAGCCCCAATTATTTGATAGTTTTTGGCACTTGACCTAGTGTATGGTCTCCATAATGTTGTCTTGATTGTCAAAAAGGAAATTAGTTGAATTTTGAAGGTCTCTTGGGCTACTTGACATCCCAACTGCTAAGTTGGACCGTGGTGCAAAGGACATTCTGAATAGATGTTATACATGGGGTTGCTTTGTAAATGAAACAATGCCAAACAGAAGCGATATTAGAATGTCTGTACATAGTAGGCAAAGGATTACATGGCATGTTCTGATTTCATATTGCACTTTATGTTGCTGGTTTAGCTAACCAGTTAGTTACATGTTATGATCAGTGCCCTTGCTTTAGAGGTAAATGCTGTCCATAGAACAGATTTTTAGTAGTTAGCATAGTTACAAAAGTGAACAGATTTTAAAGTCATGCTAGAAGCTCTCTGAGGCTGTATTTAGGCAGAATGGGGCTTTAAGCTAAACATCAGCATTGATGTTTAGCAGGTACATTTTTAACGATGTTCACCAAGTTTAGCATGTCTGTATTTTAACATTTGCTAATAAGCATCAAACTAAAGGTAGCCCACATCTTAGGATAAAATAGAAATGTAATTAGCCTAGCAGGTATCTTGTATTAAGAAACATCTTACTGGACACATTTAAAGTTTTACCTTATAACAAGGATTATGGATCAGTCGGGAATCAAGTGATCACATCTCATCCTAAGGCAAATCACAAGTCTGTACTACCATACACCATGACAATCAATCCCAAAAATATTGAGACATGTTTCTCAAGACCAAAATGGTCATGCATCTTAAAGTAGTTAAGATGTGTACATGCAATATTATGCTATGCTACCTAAATGGTCGTTGTGTTTTCTAGCTAGGCACTGACCTGTGACATGACAATATATGGTTTGTTGGTACAGCTTGGCCTCGTCGGGTTTGAAGATAATGTTGAACTGCGCTGGCGTTTTAGGCCAGATTTCACCCTCCTGAGCCATGAGAAGACAAGAACAAAAACAAGTGGTCATTTTCTGAGAGGATATCAATCAGACATGCATATAACTGTAAGGGTATAATCTTTCACTCGGAACGGTTGGTTTGAGAAGAATCCACACTTTACGTTTGAAGCATCTTAATAGTAGGAATGGAAAAGAGGAGACATTTTTTGGGGGTGGAAGTGTTGGTGCATTTTAAAAAACAATGTGGTTGTATTTTTATCCTGGTCAAATCTACACGCAACACTAACCAACACCAACTATCTCTGTCACCTACTAATACCTGTGTGTGTGTGTGTGTGTGTGTGTGTGTGTGTGTGTGTGTGTGTGTGTGTGTGTGTGTGTGTGTGTGTGTGTGTGTGTGTGTGTGTGTGTGTAGATTGTGTAGACTGCTGATCAACCCCCTAAAATGTGCTCTCAATGTATTTGGGCTGGACTACAGTACACACTGTTTACTCTCTCTGCCCCCCCCCCCCCCGTCTCTCTTGCCCTCTCCTTCTGTTTTTTGACCGTCTCCGCTCTCCCTCTGCCCAGGGAGCCTGGGTGAGTTGAGCGAAGGAGACACTGGCAGAAAAGGGAGATGGCGGTGTCAGAACAGGTCATGCTACCTGAAAGTCCCCCGGCAGAACGAGCTGTGACCCTCCCGTTACAGAGCAGTCAGATTGAATTAACATTTGACCAATTTGGCATAGCATGTAGCGAAAAGTGTCTTTTAACCTAAAGACCCTGTTTTAAACATCCAACACGCTTAAGGCCGTAAAGTGCTGCAGGAAATTAGTTACCATTTAACCACTTGCGGTTCTTTTGTCTCAAAGTCAATGTGTCTTTTAACATGTTTTTGGTTAGATGCCTGAAATAAGATCTGTGGTTGACATAAGCTGAAGAGCAGACCCCGGCAATAACACCAGCTATCATACCTAGTGTGAGTGCATTTGGAATATTTTAGTACTGCAGTTATCTTTCCCTCCTAATGATTTGTCTTTGCCTAATTATTATGTTTTTCATCAAGGTCAAGGAAAAGTGGTTTGGAAAAGACAAAGGAACAGTTTTTTTGACTATTTGATAGGAGCCCCTTATTTGCACTTACCGGCAAACCAATGGTTTAACTTCATCACTCTGTCACTTAGTAGCTAGGTTTTCATCTAAACGTATAAATTCTCCAGTGGAAAATCATTGAATGATTGCATTAAAAACCTTTTTTGCAATATTTCAAGATATATTTTGAATTGTTCTGCCTTTCTAACTTATGATTTCTAAGCAGGTGGTTTTAATTTAAAAAATGTATAATATATAATTATAATACCCCTCTCGTTCTAAGCCTCAACATGTTACTGTATAAACACGGCAGATGCTAACAAGTGACGCGACATTAGCCACATTTAGCTTAGCAGTGGTGACGCGAAGCCATGCGACCGTTTATAGCCTAACGTTAGCTCTTTACTTCTGCTAATTGCATTAATGATTCAAAATTCATAAATTGGTGGAGACTATACTGCTGAACAAGAATGTACGTATCATAAACGTGTGTTTACCACATATCTTATTTTCCACAATATTCCAAAATTCAATGGCAAAATCCAATTGGCTTTTAGTTGAGAGAGTCCTCAACTAAAAGAACGGGTCGGGCTACAAAAATACGTCATCACTACACCACTCTATTGAACTAGCTACTAAATCCCTGCCAGCTTAGAAAAGGCTCTATTTAACTCTCTTGGAATTAATTAAAGTATCAAATTATTCAGACACATCATGAGCGGTTATTATCTCTGCAGTAGTCTTAGTAAGGAGAGAAACTAGGCTGCAAATCCATGGGGTGTGGATTATTAGCTGACAAGAGATACTGGGCAAGTGGGATTTGTTAAAACAGGAAAGCACAGACACACATAAACACACCGCTGGTTCCAGAGTTAAGCAGCTGTGTGAGAGGACCAGGCGTTGGTCCTCCACTAACTGGCTTCTGCGTTCTTGCAGGGCTTTCGACAGCTGTGGGAGGCGATAGATCGCTGTGGGGTCGGACTCACACTGAACAAGCCACCGTTTTCTCTCCTCCTCCTCCTCCTGTTGGAGTGATGAGCTCTCCCTAGAGAAATGGAGGAAGCAAGGGAAGGTGAAAGTCAAAAACAAAGAGAAATGAGGATGGAAGAACAAGGAGTCTCAGACAGGAAGAAAGTGATGGGAATTTAAGCTATTTTTGGCATCACATGCTGTGTTCATTTTACTTTCTACTTGTACATAGGGAAACGGGAAGCTTGTACAGGCCACAAAAAACATCTTGTCAAAGACAAATTCCAGTATTGTCTGTGTGAAGTCATTTATGTTCATACACACATACCTCAAGAAGCTCAAGGTCTCCTCTTGCAGGCTGGGCCATGTCGTCCAACAGTACTTTAGAGGGATCTCACTCTTGTAGGTGAGAGATACTTTGCACACGTTGGCCAGGGAAATGTAAGTCTGATTTACCAGAACAGATTCACACTCAAGATGGATGTCCAGTTCCTCACAAGCCCCGTACAAAAAGATGTGCACATCTTCACCTGCGCAGAAAAACAGCAGATGTAAAAGAACAGAGACAATATCAGTGTTTTTGAGACTTGTGATTATTAACTATTAAGTGCTCCTTTATGTGGGTCCCATAAGACTTGGGATGGTCACACCAAATCATAATTTTAGAAGATGAGTAGATGCTTAATCAAGTCCAAGTAAAACTCCTGAATAAGTAAGTTGAGTGAGGAGACGCTCCAGTCTTTAAAACCTCCGCCTAATTATCTCAAAAGAGGTTTTCTGGGTCGAGGTTTGCGGGCTGAGTGTCAAATGTGGCTGACATCAACAACTTCCGCATATGTATTGAAGAAGTGGATCAAGTGATTGATAGCTGAGGCAGTGCCAAATAGTCATGTTTGTTTAGGAAGTTTCCCCAACTGAGTGAAATGACCCAGAATTACTGGAGTGTTGGCTATGATAAGAGCTTTTTGAAAGTGCTATAAAAGGTGCATCAATGCTTCCCTGTTACTACCTTTGGTATTGGATACACTGGATCCTCCTTGATGAAAGGAAAGGATATAATGCCATCCCCTAAGTGTGGCACCAATTAGCCATTCATCATGACTGACAAATGCAGATAATTAATGTTATAGTGCTTATAAAGCTGTTTCCAACTTATGCCATATCTTGCTAAAAAGCTTATATGTTTTAACCTTTCAACACTATTGTAAACCAAAAGGCAAACTATGACGATTACGCGAATGAATGTTGCAAAATGATCAAATGACATCAACAAGTTTTGTGTTTAAAAGGTTATATTTTCATTCTTCAATGGTGATCAGGACAGTAGTAGACCTAACGAGTTATGTAGACATTGCATAAAGTATTATTTTCCAAATATCATATTAAATTATTACTATGTCTTGATCTTAACTGACGTTTTTCATTACCGACCAATGGTGCAATTGTATCACCCATTCACTTAGCCAAATGGACCGTAAATCCTAAACAGGATTTTGAAGAAATCGGCAGGAAATAATGCTAATGTTATGCATTTTGTTATGCGATTATAAGAAGTTAGGTCGTATAACCCTCCGGTTGGGAAGCAATTAAACCATTGATTTGCAAACAATTTGTACCTGCCTATCATAAAACAGTTTTTGCAATATTTTAAGATTTATTTTGAATTTTTTGAGTTTCTACCTTATAATTCCTATATCGTTTTTTTTATGAAGAAATTGAAAACAGGTAGATGGAAACACACCTAGTGAGAGACCTATGCATTTAAAGGACTGGCCTGCACCTAACTGCTCTCCATCCAAAAAGGTGCACCTGGACGTACCTTGTTTTAAAGCTGCATGTATAAATGAATGAATAGGGAATTTTTTGAGCAACGCACCATAAGTGCTTTTGTTGATTTTTTCAAAGCGCGACAGTTCAACAAATTACCGTAAATACAAAGCCAACATGTCCTCAGGAGCATACTGATGCCACACAATTGTACCTATTGTACTTCCTGCAATTTGAATATTGCACTATTCCATATTTCAATATCATTTTTGATTAATTGTGCAGCCTTAATCAATATACAACTGTACAGGAAAGTTGGGTTTATCTAATGCATTAAGTGAAGCAATGTCCTGAAGTGTAGTTGCATGGGGGAGCGACAGTTAGACACTGTTATTCTGCACATATAGCACAAAATAATTCTACCCACCGAGCAGCCACTGCTGCTCCTATGGGAGTCTCAGGCCTAATGTGGGCAGTGGATCGAGGGGAAACTCACAGTGGAGTCAAGGACACACTGCAAAGTCTAGCTTTGAAATGCTGGATCTGGATCAAAAGGAGATTAAAATGGCTCTCAAAATATCTTGGAAAACTGGCATCTAAAACAAATAATGAAGCCAAAGCCTTTTTGGAGTTTCTGCTATGTGAAAAACATGGCTGAAATAAATAAGAAATGCATAAATAATAATGTAGCAGACGCACAGTAAATATGATAAAACATCAATTTCAAAGTATGCATCTCTGGAGGTAAGAGAGACAGACTCTTAATAGGAAATCTATTGAGTCTCTGTAGAAGATGCCACCATTACAGTGTGTGCCATCAGTGAGCGAAAGAGCAACAATAAGCAGCAACACAAAGACGATGCAAATCAAGGTTTTGTATAAAGCCACCAAGAACAAGGGCTTATGTAAATGAAGTGAGTGTTTGTTTATATTCAAATAATAAGGAGTGGAGTTTTAGCCTGTAGAAACACACTCCCTATCCTGATATTATTTATATTTGTATACCTGCTGAGGTTACTTCTTTTAAGTAAGGACACATCCCTCTGAAAGTCTCTCTTATCACACACAGTGAACTCTTTCACAGTTTGGATATAATATAAGGGAAAGTCTAAACACAACAGGGTTCTCCTCCATGATTATGTAGTTAATAATTTATTTGATATTTTATTTCCCTAGTGTAAATGAAAACAATGATACCTTGGTCAATCAAATTACCTCAAATGAGACATGGAGGATTTGCAAACAGTGCCACTCAAAGAGTGGGCATTTCATTTAATTGTGACTGTTGTGCTTTTCAAAGCTCGTCTCACGCCAAAACAAACGTGGAGACTTGCCATTAATTACTTTGCACAATTGAATGGAGTGAGCGAATTAAATGGATTACAAGTGCTCTGGTATGCAGGTTTGTTCAATTGACGAGGGGATTGATGGTCGCTCTGCAGGATGGTGAGTGAAACCGACTCTTGGCAGAGGATTAGAAACTTGACTCTGGTTTGACAGTGCAAAAATGTTGGGGTCTCAACTTACACTGGTGCACTTCCACTGATTTGAAAAAACAAACCCAAGGCAAGATGAGGCTCAGCATACACTCAGGCCACTTTATTAGGTACACCTTGCTAAGTGGCCAGTGAGTGTATTTCAACTAGATGCAAACCGCGCCAAGGAAAATCAAAAGTAGTTTCTTCTTCAAATGTTTACATTTCAAATGTGCCAGGCACAGTATGCATAGCTTCTAAAATGTTGCATGCAATCAATGAGTGATTTCTTTGTTAAAGTTGCTGTTAATGTTGATAATAGCTATAAAAAAAAACACCACCATTTGCTAAACTGTAAATCAATTTGAATAATTAGGTGCCATGTGGAACAACACTTTTTTTATTATTGGTACTTGAGCACACACATTATAAAGGGATATATTATTAACTGTATGCATGCACATGGAAAAAATGCACACAAAAAGGAACTTTCGGGAAGATAGGGAAGTTTTGTGCTTTAAGTTCTTTCATAATATTAGCTTTTATTTTCTAAATTTGGAGTTACCAAGAGCTGCCGCTATTCCCTTCTATTCCTATACAGCAACTCCGAATAATTCGCAAACAATACGTGCACGCTTGAATTGAAATGTATAGTTTTTTCCTTTTACTTCACTTTTTATGCAATGTTACTTTGAGAACTTTGAGTTTGGGAAGTACCTGAGCAGATCTTGGCTGCCTAAATAGCCTGACATTTTGAAACAACCAACATCAGCTTGACTGACCATGCTTAGCTAACTTAAATTAGCTCAGCTAGGGTCTGCGTTGGTCCAACAAAAATACATTCTTAATCAAGCGTTTTGGCCGTCCATAGTG